TAATTTCCAGCAATTTCTTTTGGCCATTTTTATTAAAAATATTTTTTCCCCAAACCTCTACTATTATTAGTTTCTGAAATATTGCCGGCTACGAACACCCGGTACATTTATTTGACAGTCTCTCTTGTATTTCCACATTCTATTTCAAACAACATATTTCTTACGTGGCAAAAAATAAAAAACACGAGATAAATAAAACGCTCGAATAAATCCGAGCCACTGATTTTAACTCATGGGATATCATGTGTGGAGGTGAGGAAAACTTTAGATAGTACATGAAAAGTTGACGCAATCAATCTTCCAATTCAATCCCACTTTTATAGGGCGCTGGTTGAGTAAAAGTTCTTTACAGTTTTTTTTCCATTTTTTTAGCCGATCCCATACTCCTTTTTTCTACCTCGTAAATTATTTATTTACTGCCTTTACATTCGGGTCACGTGTTTTTAGGGAGCCGAGATTTTTTGAGAAATGACCCATAAATGATTTTATTTGTACTTACTCATACTCATAGAAAAAAGAAATTGGGGAAAGTTTCGTTCCTTTTGGTTAATTATGATTTTATATTTTTTAATCGACTTCAAAAAAGGAGCAGGTTCTCAATTCGTCGCGATATTTTTTTTTAACCGACTTCAAAAAAGGAGGAGGTTCTCAATTCGTCGCGACATATTCATATTGCACCTAAATATATTTTTGTGTAGGTACAAAAAATTAATTTTTGATATTTTATGGTTACACACAAACAAAACAACATTTTTTTAAAGTAATTTTTAATAACTATCATCGTTTATTTGAAAATAAAAATTGTAGTAACAAGTAACAAGTAACAAGTAACAAGTAACAAGTAACAAGTAACAAGTAACAAGTAACAAGTAACAAGTAGAAAGTAACAAGTAACAAGTAACAAGTAACAAGTAACAAGTAACAAGTAACAAGTAACAAGTAACAAGTAACAAGTAACAAGTAACAAGTAACAAGTAACAAGTAACAAGTAACAAGTAACAAGTAACAAGTAACAAGTAACAAGTAACAAGTAACAAGTAACAAGTAACAAGTAACAAGTAACAAGTAACAAGTAACAAGTAACAAGTAACAAGTAACAAGTAACAAGTAACAAGTAACAAGTAACAAGTAACAAGTAACAAGTAACAAGTAACAAGTAACAAGTAACAAGTAACAAGTAACAAGTAACAAGTAACAAGTAACAAGTAACAAGTAACAAGTAACAAGTAACAAGTAACAAGTAACAAGTAACAAGTAACAAGTAACAAGTAACAAGTAACAAGTAACAAGTAACAAGTAACAAGTAACAAGTAACAAGTAACAAGTAACAAGTAACAAGTAACAAGTAACAAGTAACAAGTAACAAGTAACAAGTAACAAGTAACAAGTAACAAGTAACAAGTAACAAGTAACAAGTAACAAGTAACAAGTAACAAGTAACAAGTAACAAGTAACAAATAACAAGTAACAAGTAACAAGTAACAAGTAACAAGTAACAAGTAACAAGTAACAAGTAACAAGTAACAAGTAACAAGTAACAAGTAACAAGTAACAAGTAACAAGTAACAAGTAACAAGTAACAAGTAACAAGTAACAAGTAACAAGTAACAAGTAACAAGTAACAAGTAACAAGTAACAAGTAACAAGTAACAAGTAACAAGTAACAAGTAACAAGTAACAAGTAACAAGTAACAAGTAACAAGTAACAAGTAACAAGTAACAAGTAACAAGTAACAAGTAACAAGTAACAAGTAACAAGTAACAAGTAACAAGTAACAAGTAACAAGTTGCAATATTATATTGCCACGTTGGGCTTCAATTTGCAATATTATATTGACACGTTGGGCTCCAATTTGCAATATTATATTAACACATTGGGTGCCAATTTGCAATATTACCCTGACACTTTGCCCGCCATTTTGTAATATTATTCGTTACCTTTATGATAAATGTTAATTTCAAAACACTTATAGAGATTTTTACTAGCTCAGTGAAATTTAATAACAAACGTTACTTATCTTTAAAAATTAAAAAAAATAAATGAGTACATACTTTTCTCTGTGGTGAATTCGGCTTTTCAAATAGACAATTTTAAGGGTAGTAATCTTTCTAGGAAATGTTGGGCACCAATAATTCTCTTTTTTATTTTTAAAAGCTAGTGAAAATTATAAATTCTAGCTTTATCAATAAAAAGAAGTTAATAAAAATTATACAGAATTTAGTGAATGAAAGAGAATTTTTTGTGACCTTTAAAAAATAAGATTCAACACATATACTTATAAAAATTAATGATTTTATTTAAAAAACAAGAAACCTTTTCGAAAACAAATTATTCACAGTTATCAGTAAAGCTCGGATTATAGGCAAAATGCATTTTTTTGCCTATTTTGCCTATTTGATGTGTTTTCTGTACATTTTGCCTTTTTTTCGTAAATTCCGGCTTTTTATGCCTTTTTTTAAATTTTTTTGCTACTACCCATGATATTATTCATATTACGATTACTAAACCTTTCTATAACAACATTTTGGGTCAATAATAGAATATCAATGGTTTGTTTATAATGGATTTCCAGGAAAATGTACCTGTTAGAGATTAAGGCTTAGGAATCCCTAATCTTTTCCCCTTTTATAATGTATAATAAACAGTCACCAGTTGTACTCTATCAGAGCTTAGTTTTGTTTCGTATGCTGAAAAGTAACGAACCCACATTTTAAAAAGTTAAATTAAAACAGCAACTAGCTTATATCAATGGCAATTATAAATTAAAAGTTAGCATAATTACCTTATTAGAACGACAAGAGGTAAATTTATGTGAGTCAGTAAAATTAGTAGATAATTTAAAGTCAAAAATTAAGTCAGCACCTGGAAGTAATGGTCAATTCATTTTAAAAAAAATGAAAGATATTTTTGACAAAAATGAAGGTTTCTCGTTTTTGTTAAATGTTGCCAAAATTTTGAATGGGACATTTTCCGAAGAACTACAAATTCAGCCAGATTTATTATAGTCTAAGATCCAAAGTAAGGTCGACCTTCACCCATCTGTTTAATGGATGAAAGTTTCTTTTTATTACATAAAATAAATTTATAAATGTACCGAAAATGGGTTTCCTAAGAAAATACGGTCCAGAGTATTTTTTTTTTCTTAAAGTAAAAAAAACGACACCCTGTAAAGTATTCCCCAGATGCTTCAACTATGCCCAAACTTTAATCAGCTCACCGCAGGATGGATTAAAGCTTAAATTTAAAATTTGGTGTTTTTCTCTTGGTCCGTTTTTGAGTTGTCTTCAAAGTTCGAAATTTGCACTTATCCTCAAATATCTCGAATTAGGTCCATTTTAGGAAAATCATGTATGGGAACAAAATAATAGATAATGACATCATAAACAACTTTTATCATGATTTTATACTTTTCTTATCTGTAGACAGAAAGGAAAGTAAAAAATGGGCGTGACCGTATTTTCTTAGGCAACCCATTTGCAGTATATTTAAAAACATATTTTATTTAATAAAAAATAAGTTTTTTCCATTAAACAGATGGGTGAAGGTCGACCCTACTTACGGATCCTGGACTATTATCCGGTCTTAAATATGCTCCAATTACATCTGTCGAAGTAGAGCGTTCATTTTCAATGTACAAATTAATTTTAAGTGATAGACGACAAAGTTTTAAGACTGAAAATATAGAAAAGCACTTAGTTGTAGCTATTAATGATAAAATTTTAAGTGGTTACAATGTTTAATTATTATTTAACAATTATTTAGTTATTATGTTATGTAAATATATTTTTTGTGTTAATACTAAGTTAATTCACTTTGTATAATAAAAAAATAAGTTATTATTAAAAATTATGGATTTAAAGGCATTTGCCTATATTGCCTATATGTTGCCTATTCGTTCAGATTTCTGCCTTTTTCAATAAAATTTTTTGACTATATAGGCGCCTTTTCCTTCATTTTTTTTTGCCTATAAATCCGAGCTTCAGTTATCAGGTATCAAATTTTGATTCGTACATAAATAATTCTAGTCACTAGTAGTTACCACATTTTTGCTTTGTTAGCTAACCACTTCTAGATAGCCATAGGTAGTTGAGATTTCTGCCCCTCGGAAACCAACGCCTCTGTCGGTTACTTTTTCTTCTTATGAAGCTTCGAATTGTAGCTATCGCTTTTCCAATTAACTCACGTTTCACAAGATATTTCTGCTCCTCGGGAACCAACGTTCAGATTACAACGGTTGATTTATGGCAGTTGAGTTATGACTCTATGGCTTTATGACTTTATGGCTTTGTGGCTTTGTGGCTGATTCAATTCGTTTGCTAGACAAAAATAGATTTTGTTTTTCACGTGGTTCTGTACGATATATAAATTTAAAAGATCTACTTAAAAAAAATGAACCAATCAGATAATAAAAACTAGTGACTATACATATTGTGCCGTTCTAGCAACCAGAATGAATCATAAAAACACATTTAACTTTACTATCAAAAAACTAATAATTAACAAAAGGTTTGAATAATATTTCTACTGAGATATTTAATAAAGACATTATATTATTATACTTTTTATGCTTACCACTTTAACAGCCAATGCACCACCGATATGATCAAAAGGTAATAATAAAATTAAATTTACAAATCTAATTTGAGATCGTTTGGTTAGTGGTACTCCCACTTCAAGAAATTTCCCTTTCTTTAGAATATTGTGTGTTGGCGATAATTAAATTATACCGGATGGCACACATTTAAAATAACATTTTATAATTAGACTTTTAAAATGTTACAAAGTAACAAGTAACAAGTAATAACTTTGATATTTTATACAACTTAAATGAATGTTAACTAAACAAAATTTATTAAAGAGAATATAACCAATGTGGCTTCATATAACGTGTATTAAATCACTCGTTTTTGGTATACCCCGTATGTTTTTATTGCAAATTATCATTATCAATAATAATTACATAAATAAAAGTTTTATATAATATTAAAAACTATACGAGTAAATTACATATTTTTTATTAAATAACAAATTACGTCTTACATAAGTATAAACAAAATAATCTACTGACTATAAAAAAAAAAAGATTAAATATTATAAATATTAACTTAAATATTAACTTTTAATAACATTTCTATGCAATCGAAAATTTTCGGTGATAGCATCGGCTTTGTCGAATAGTTTTTCGTATATTTTCTTGTGATTTATTTTATTGTAACCTCCATACTCTGGTGGTAAATTGTCCTTATCAATATAGTCGTAGAGCGTAGCACAATTATCAAAATGGAAAAACATCTAAAAAAAAAGCAGAATTATAAAGAAAAAATGTAATATAGTGAAGAAAAAGGGTACTTTACAAAAAGTACTGCAACTAGTTCCTTCGCAGCCTTAACCATAGGCATGGAAGAACATCTGTAATAGTTGTTCAGTTTTTAAAATCTCATTATATCTTTTCTTCCAAGACTAATGATGAACAATGATCGAAACTAGTTGCTGCTTCATTTAATGAAATAAAAGTATTCCAAGGTTTGATTTTATGTTTTGATTTTAAGAGGAATAACAGTAAGAACGAGAAGAAAAGAATAAGGAAAATGTTGAATCATTGAAGACATACCTGTTTTTTGCTTTCTTCGGGTATAAAAGGTTGCACGATCTTTAACATCAGCTTCGTATACTTCGAATTATTGACGCAATGTAGTTTCAGTTCTTTGAACGGTAAACAAGATAACTTCCTTAAACCTAGCTTGCAATCCTTATAATTAAGCATTTTTAGGTATTTCCAACTGATGCCTCCTAAATCTAAGATAACGCAAAGACCTATTTTCGCAATTTCAGGATTCTTGTCCAGGATGTATTCGTACCAGATGTCGTCAATGCAAGCTTCATCGGCGAATGTAGTTTGATCTGGGTCCAAATTACCTGTAATAATTAAATCGTTTAACTAATAATAGGTATAATCAAATTTGATTTAACATTTATGTACCAATTTTTGATATATAAATAGGTCTGCCTTCTTTATCGTGAGCTGGAATCATAATTGCTGCATTCATTTCAAAGGAAGATTTTCTGTTTAAAGGGGATTCTTTCTGGAACCAAGTAGGGTTTTCAACCATGTTTTCGTGGTAGTCTTTCATCTACAACAAAATTATTAAATACATTGGGGAGGTCTTCTTTCAGGATATTTAATTTAATAATCAGTTTAAAGAACAAGTTAGTCTTAGGTCATTCTTGTGTTTTAATGCAATTGGTCAATAACTTTAGTTAAATTTTATTTTGGTTTAAATTAGTTTTAAAGCAATTTCTTTAGCAATGTTATGAATTTTCTGGTTTCTAATTTTCTGAATAGAATTTAAACTTAAACTTACCCTTAAAAAAGATGTTTCAACATCAAATTCAGTACTGTATAACCATCTTAGTAAATATTCTTCATCTGTATTGATATTCTTAACAGTTTTAATACCTGCAAATTTAAAAATATAAATTTTTTGATTTTGATTATCAAATTTTACCTTACCTTGCAATTTCTGCCTCAACGCCTCTACAATTGTCTGTTTTTCTTCTTCAGTTGGATTTGCACTGCTCAAGTTAATTTTACTCGCCATCTTTCATAGCCAATTATGATTTTTAATCTAACATCGACCGTATATTTAGTTAAATTAAGAAGATTTAGAAGCTCGAATGTTATCAATTTTCGAGATAAATATTGACGACTGTTCGCTTGGTTGAAAATTAAAATTTGGTTAATCTATATTGGTTGAACCCATACCAAGATAATTTACCCAATTATAATGATAATTTTTTTGGTTGAAAAAAAAATTTTTTAACTATAAGAAATATTGCAGTGGCGTCTCGTTAGAAAAATATCAAATTTTAATATAGAGTATGGTGCAAGTCTGACTTTTGGAAACAATTCTGAAACGTTACATACATGCTGACTATAGAATTAATATTACATCATGCGTTTAGAGAGTGTTTCTTAACTACGGTACGAAACTTTAGAGCGCGATTCCTTAGGTTGTTTTATAAAAAAAATAATTCTTATGAACAAAAAAGGGTAAATCAAACGAGGGTGGTCCTTAGGATCTCACAAGAGTATTTTATTACGACCGGTTTCGAGGATCAGATCCTCATCATCAGGTAAGGTCTAAAATAGAGAGGAAAAACGAATGAGCTCATAACTAATAAAGTGGGTTTAAACATTTTAATATGAAAGTTGTCAAATATCAAGAACTCACCCGTAATTACTCATCTATTTAAGACTAAGCTAAGAGAATTATCCCAGGGTCGGTGTAAAAACAAGTATGCGAGTATTTTTTAAAATACATAAAAAACAATAGTTGCAACAAAAAGTTGATGTCAAAACACATAAACAAAAGTAGGTCTAAAACTATTAATTAAAATTATTAAAATATTTCACGAACGGACGAACAATTAAGGCAAACAAATTTAAAAACTTTTTAAACCCTACAAGCACTAAAATGGGTTCTTGGACAAGTGTTTATAATTCTACAGGAATTATATTTTATTTAGATTAAATATACTGATTAACGCCCTCTAGGTATAAATAGACGAATTAACCATTCTAATATTTAAGATAACAGTTTAGAGGTTGTCATATTTAAATATTTTGACCATCGGCTAATAGATGGCGTTGGCGAAAAAAAATAAATGTTTCTTAATAATAATAATATAGGTTTATAAAATGAATTGTTTGAATTTGTACGTAATAATGAAATAAATAAATTATTATTGTTAAAAGTAGAGTCTAGCATTAGCGTTGGAAAATAATTTTAGATGTACTAATATTCAAATTAAGAAGTTGGTAACAGTCAACGGAAAAGTTTTAGACCTACTTTTGTTTATGTGTTTTGACATCAACTTTTTGTTGCAACTATTGTTTTTTATGTATTTTAAAAAATACTCGCATACTTGTTTTTACACCGCCCTGGGATAATTCTCTTAGCTTAGTCTTAAATAGATGAGTAATTACGGGTGAGTTCTTGATATTTGACAACTTTCATATTAAAATGTTTAAACCCACTTTATTAGTTATGAGCTCATTCGTTTTTCCTCTCTATTTTAGACCTTACCTGATGATGAGGATCTGATCCTCGAAACCGGTCGTAATAAAATACTCTTGTGAGATCCTAAGGACCACCCTCGTTTGATTTACCCTTTTTTGAACTTATAACTCACACATGGCTACCACCTTCAACTTTAATTCTTATGAACATAATATGTCATAATAAGTTAAAAACAATTGAGTATTTTATTTTATTTTGTTTAAAGTTGGAACAATTTTTTGAAGTAATAAGGCGCTTATTTAGCTCTAACTAGATTGCAATTATTGGGTCCAGTGACGTTTCACTGGGCAACAGAACCAATAATATTCAGAATAAAAAAGTTCATATATATTTTGGATTAGGCAACTGAAATACAACTTGCATGATTTTATTCATAGCTATTATTTGTCTTATTGTTATTCGTCTATCAAGAATTCAAGATATTTGGTAGTTGATTGCTTTAGATGGATTAATTGTTGCATTCCCCAGCTAATTTCGTCTTTTAAGATAATTGGGTTTTTAATTTTGACTATTTTTTCTTATTTGCCAAGTAATCTTCATATGGTTTATTTGAAGATCCCGTAATACCAAGTTCCTCTGAGACTTTAAGGTATTCAACAACTACTGTCTGTGACGTACAGTCTCAAATGCCTATAAGTTTATTAATTGCATCTATTTTAGATTTTCCTTATCGAAATCTAAATAGCTTATTAGAAATGATTTCGTTATACCTTAGAAACATTAGTAATTCTTTATTTTATGGCGTTTCAAAAAAATATTATATTACAGAGATTGATCTATAGTAAGAATCATTGATAATGTTAATTATTTCGTGATGAAATTGGATTTTGAGGTTTTAAATTTTTAACAGCATATTCTTATTCCTATGTTGTTAGCAAAAAAGTAGTTAAATTAATTGTTATTTTTTTCCTTCTTTTTTAATAATTTATTTTTAGTGTTTAATACTTTATTATTATTAATTAATCATATCAAATTAAATAATTTATTATACAGCTTTATTTGACAATATCATTACGCACTATTTAGTTTCCCGATTAACTTTTTCCACCATTCTTGACGATTCGAAACTCTTCACTATATCATTGTGTCTACTATACAATTTCCTATATATTTCGCAATAGTCGATTTCTTTGCTGCCGCCGTATTCCTCCGGCAAATATTTAGGATCGACGTGTTCATGCAAGGACGCCCAATTCGTGAAATGAAATTTCACCTGAAATTAAATAAATCTTTAAAATTTGATTTCAAAACTAATAAAAATTCTCATATACTTGAACAAGTTCTCAACAGTTTTCTAGAAAAAACAATAAAGCTGGCAACATCACAAATACTTGAGATATGGTATTTAAAATACATGGCATCTTATGGGAATTATACATAATTTTGTCAAAATAATAAAAATAAAAATATAACACAGTTTTTTATTGTTGTAATACAAGTATAAAGGGAAGTTTGGGAATGTACATGGTATTACCTCATACTTTAATTTCAGCTTTCCCCTTTTTATTTTGCTAACAGTACCATCAGTAAAAATAGTCTAGTAAGATTTGATAATATCTTCTAAAAAGTATAGAGCAGCATCATCTCTAGAAAGTGCTTTATCGGCACTAGGAACGATATATATTCTGCCACTGTTCTAAACGTTTAGTATCCTATAAAAAACATTTATAATGACACAATTGGGGTCCAAAACTCTTTATCTAACATTAAAACTATAAAAAATAACAGTCGTTTTGTTAAAACTAAATTACTGCAAGACCTTCATTGGGACAAGAAACAAATTAGTTCTGAATCTACGATTATACGCAAGTTTAAGTCTAAAAAGAAGAATCAAGAAAATGTTAAATATGTTGAATGTTCGCTTATAATGCCATTAAAAAGTTGCTGAGGAGATTTTTATTAAGTATACTACTGTTTTAGGAATGTGTAGTGGAATGCTGACATCTGTAATTGCTCCAAAATTTGTAGAGGAGAAAATGTTTCGAGTGGCCGCCAATTTTATTTTTAATTAAAGTGAGGTCTGTTATTAAACGACGTCCATAACCTGGAGGTGATTTCGGTCCCATAGAGCTCTATGATTTTTAATTTCTAAATCTTGCCAAACTTTTGTAATTATGTACCCTTGAATAACACAGGTTTTGTCCGAATAATAATGTTTTCCCCTCATTGCCATATCTTCGAATTAACTTATTTACCAGGATTTATATTTATTGAATTCTCTCTGTCGCTCATGAACAGAAACCAAAAAATTAACGAACTGAACTCACAAGTTTTCTATATGGAGTGCGACTCAAACGTGGCCCTTTTATTAGATGGTAAAAAATTCGAGAGAAAAGAAATTCTCAGACACATGGCAAAGTGTAACCAACTGATTGACAGCTAGTAGATGTCCTAGCTGTGTTGTCAGTATGAAGCAAATTACGTAAGTTACTAAGTTTTAAAGTGTTCTCCATATTTTTATGTTTTTACATTCAAATAAAGTAACTACCTAAAATTTTAAGTATAGCGATTTACCTCCAAGACAAATAATTAAATAATTTTAAATATGATACATTATAGTTTTAAATAACAATTATATATTTTATGCAAAATAACACTGAAAGGAATCGTATTTAATCAAAAAAAATCCCACTTGATTGGAAATAATAAAAATCGCCCTTTTGGATTGTGCAACTGGACCATTTTAAAAGCAGCCAATCATCCATATAGATGGAATAAGAAATGTGAAAAAAAGATTTTGGTTTGGTGGTTTTAATTTTAAATTACTAAAATTTAAGTGCTTAGAAGTTCTCTGCTTTTAAATTTCTATATCGAGGGAAGTTCTGGGTAAACTACTTTACCGATTTTTTGCATATTTTTTATTGTGCAAGAAATTTTTCTTTCGATAAATGGCAACTCGTTAGACATTCCTGAATTTTACCACTGTCTATTATTTAGAAACCGTAGTATAGGCTTTATTAAGATCTTACAGAATGTTATAATGCGAGACACTGCAACATTATCAGTTTTGACTTATATTCGATAAATGTGTGTTTATGTTACTTGTATTTATATTTTAAGGAATTTTTATTTATTTACCTTACACTGTGTTTGTCAATTAGAATTTTAATATGAACAATAAACATATTTTATATTTCCTCTCTTAATATATTCAAAACGAGAAACAACGATTATTCAATACTTTTAAAAAATATTTATATTATTGTATACATTGCTATCTGAACTAATTATCAATAACATTAAATTTAAATTATTAATAAAAAGGGATTTGTCTTTGTTCTGTAAACCACAGAGATCTCATATTTATTGTTGGAATACATTTGATACATTTAAAGAAATCTGTGTCTTTCTTTCTGCACAATAAAAGTTAATAAAGCTAATCCAGAAATTCACTTTTCATGATCTTATATGTAACAGATTCATCTATAAAGACTAATATTGGAACCCTATTTACCATAAAAAGGCTGGCTTTTTTTTATTCAAAGATTTAGAAAACTTGAGGTTTTGTAGTAGATATCGGAATTTATGCAATATTTTTTAATAAAAAATAATGTTTAC